CCCCAAAACCCCAAAACCCCAAAACCCCATCAAGGCATTAATAAGAAAGTAAAATATGATTAGGTTTTAGATTAAATGATAACTTTCTAAAATAATACTAATATTGCAATTCAAATTTCCAGGAGAAAAACTATGGAATAATTGATCTCCTTTTCTTATATACATATGATAAAATTTTATTAATATTTGACTTTACTCTTCAATTCTTGTTTACTTTGTTGAAAATACTAATTGATTCATCGGTTAGGTATTGGCCAAAATTCTTTTCTAAATTCTTATAGTTTTTAACCTTAAACTTTGAGAAATAATCAATAATGCGTTAGTGGACCTGTTTTATATTAAACTCAAAGTCTTAATGATGGATATACTAAGTCTTTAAGCATTTTAATAGGCATTTTACCTAAACGAATTAACTGGTTTATTTAATCTCTTAGATTGTCATTCTATGTTTGGTTTCTAGTTAATGAGTTATCGTATTTTAATAGAGACGTTTTAGATATTTAACTGTGACATATACAATGGCAGGGCAGAGAACCTCCTGTTTTTCAAGCATAAAATCCATACTATGGAGAACTATCTGGCAAACAAATAACAAATAGTTCATGAGATTTTCATGATCAGCCTTATTTAATGGTGATTTCTTACTATCGAAGATTAGCCTCTTAAGGATTAATGAGGATTCTTCATATATATTATTAGATTAGACCTTAAACTGAAGTGATTGCAATAAATCTCTCTCCTAATCAAGAATTTCTGATTGTTGAAATTTGTTATGTCCAGCATCTTTAAGGATTTATTGCATTCTGATTGGGTATATATCCTCATATTTTGAACTTATTAGAATAGTGACAAGTCCTATCAGATGTAAATCTCCTTTGTCAAGTACTCTCCCAAGTTACTGCTGTGACTCAAAGTACCTATCCATCAGAGAAGCAGCTAGAAAGAATGTCTGAGCATTATTAACTTTAAGGACACGAAAGACCTGTATCATCCAATCGATCATTCTTCCTCTGTGATCATCCTTTATGCTGTGCAATGAGAGAAAATTCGGTAGCTTAACGTTGCTTTTATTGAATGGAACAAATTTCAACTTGTCAAAGGTGGAAGTCCCTAATTAAGTATATTACTTTTCAAAATAGCTATAGGCGTAGACTTCTTTGCTCAAAGTAATTTAATCCAAAGTTCGAATAGTAATCTACTCTAAGCATTAGGGTTCTTTAGGCTCAGGTGGACTATGACTCATCCTGCTAATAATTCGAGAAAACGATTGCAATTCGTTCCTTTGTAACCCGGTAAGTTAACACTCAGTTGTTCTGTGTTTATTATGGAATAATTTACCATCTTTATTATTGATCCCGTTTATTTCTGGATTATACGACAATTTTGATTCATTTTTGAATAGTTTAAAGGTGCTTGTTTTTTTGTTTTAGATAACAGGTAGTTGGTTTGTTGAAAAGGAATTTGAATCTGCAGAGTCCTTATTATGGTTCTTGAGATATGATTTTTTCTAGGATTAAGAGATTTAGCTTGGGGTATTCAAAGCTGTCTATTGAGAGGTCACATTTTTTCTTGAGAGGCTACTAGCATTATTGGTTACTCTTGAGTTTCTTTTGCTGAAAAAAGTTCCTTGAGTCATCTTGTTTGTTGATGTGTGCATTCCGGTAGAAAGCTCTGGTATATCAAGTTGAAGGTATTAGGAAGTATTATTGAGTGAAATTTTCATGGGCAAAAAATTTTATATTAATATTATTAAGTAAGCCTCACAATTATATAATAATTTTTTTAAGTTTAGATTAAAAGCTCAGTAGATTAGGTCATGAATTCTTCCCGATCTCAACTTTAAGAATAAATTTGCAAGATTTGATATGATAATGGGAATTAAGCAAACGAATCACTGTCTATTTATTATTGTCTGAATCCATTAAAGCATTCATTTTCTTCAATTTTATCATACGGGGTTTTGGGGTTTTGGGGTTTTGGGGTTTTGGGG